GCCTGTGTGTGTTTGTGTGTGAGTGTCTGTGTGTGTGTCTGTGTGTGTGTCTGTGTGCGTGAGTCTGTGTGAGTATGTGTGTGTGTGTGTGTCTGTGTCTGTGTGTGTGTCTGTGTGTGTGTGTGTGTGTCTGTGGCTGTGTGTGGCTGTGTGTGGCTGTGTGTGTGTGTGTGTCTGTGTGGGTGTCTGTGTGTGTCTGTGTGTATGTATGTGTATATGTGTGTGTGTGTGTCTGTGTGTGTGTATCTGTGTGTGTGTCTGTGTGGGTGTGGTGGTGTGGCTGTGTGTGGCTGTGTGTGGCTGTGTGTGGCTGTGTGTGTGTGTGTGGTTGTGTGTGCTGTGTGTGGCTGTGTGTGGGTGTGTGGGTGTGTGTGGGTGTGTGTGTGGGTGTGTGTGATGTGGGGGGTTGTGGGGGGGTGGGGGGGTCAGGGTGGGGGTTGGGGGGAGCGGGGTGTGGGGGGTGGGGGGTGGGGAGTAGGTGCGTGGGTGCATGGGTGCGTGGGTGCGTGGGTGCGTGCCGTGCGTGCCGTGCGTGCCGTGCGTCTATGGAGGCCGGCCCGGCGCACGCACAGAGTTCGCAACATGACATGCTTGCCAAATGCAAGCGCTGGGGGTGGGAAGAGAGGGAGGGGGGCCGGGAAGAGGAGGAGGAGGGGGAGGGGGAGGGGGAATCACACAATGGTGCGAAATTGCATGCTTGGATCAATCAGCATACCAACACACACGAGTATTTGACTCAGAAAGCGCGGGTGCGTCAGCGGCGTCTTCGACGACCACCCCGTTACGGTAGAATTTCTGGACTGAAAGAATAGAGGATTTTGTCTCGAAGTGTTGCCCACCAAAACCTTTCAATCTAACAGTGCCGCCCTGCAAATTTTGTGCACGGCTACCCTTTGAGATATGGCCTTTCAAGCTCAGTATGATCAACGACCCCTCGTGCCCTTCATTCCGGTCTGGGGTGCAATCAACCATATTGGTGCTTAGAGCTGCCAGCGCAACATCCGAGGTGTTTGCCTGTATGTCAGATTCATCGCTCGTTGTACTCCCGGACGGCGTCTGCAAAGGTACCGAAGCCATTCCAGAACAATTTTGCACGCCCATGTTGCAAGTATCAATCATGTCCGTTTGCGTTGCTCGACCATTGCACCGTAAGCGCCAGGGTTTGGGGAGCGCTTGAGTTTGGGATGCACGTGAAGCGTAATTTTCCTTCAAACTGTTTGATTGCACTGCCACACCCTTGTCTGAAATGTATGACTGAGTTTGGGAAGTGCGGGAAACGTAATGATCCTCCAAGATGGTTGTCTGAATTGCCACGTCTTTGTCTGAAATATCGTAAACTGCGGCTTCAGCAAATCATCCATTCCCAGAATTTGATTCACAAGCGGCCTCCCTGTCAAAGAAATCTGGCTCCTTCGGCGATTTCTCGGCATTTGGCTCTTAGCGTCCCTTGCAATGTTCTTCAAGTTTGTCGATGTTGTTGGCCACCAGCGCATCACCGTATTGAAAATCATGCAAATTAGTGCGGAACAGAAGTAATTCCATATTGCGCACTCTCCTCTCGATCTCTACCAAAGTGTTGGTGTCTTTCCCAATATGTTGCGCAACATTGTCTAGATCATGCTTCGCTTGAGGAGTAATGCGTGCATCTATGGAATCCAATCGGCGTGTTTGTGTGTGTTTGTGTGTGTGTGTTCGGAGGTGGTGTCGTGCCGCGGTCACGTAGTGGCCCGTCATCCCTTTTCCCGTGGCGACAAAGACCCATGATAAATTATGATGGGCACCTTTCCCGTAGTCTTGACTTGCGAGTCTCTTCCACACGGGGTTGTCCTGACCTAGCCCCCCCAGGTGACAAGAAAACGAACACTCTCCCAGAACGCCGCTCTGCTCCAAGCGGGAGAGCCCACTGCCGGGTAGAGTTTGGGCGAGGTCGGAGAGGGAGGACGAGAAATAGTTCGAGCCTTCCAAGAGAGTCTCACGATTTGGGCCCTCTGATAACACAGGAGATCCTCCCAGGGGTAGCCAGAGTTCTCGGAGGGCCCCCTCGGTGGCTGCCGGAGGTCCCTGGGGGCAAAGCGAAGCGGCCAGACATGTCCAAAACCATCGGTTCCCTGTAGCCCTCGTCCCTCCCAGTCCTTCCAGACGTGGCAAGAGCAGCCGGGGTCGGAGGGCCACACCGCGTCGGCGATGCGGCGCGATCCGGAGCCCGCCCGATGTTCTGCATCCCGCCGCTGCCGGTGCATCGCCAATGCCCCCGCGCGGGCGTTCACGGTCGAGCACCGCCAGTTTCGGACGAGTTGGCGATCGAAGGGCCGCCGATCGGTCAACGTCGGTCGATCTACGCGGTGTCGAGCCAGCGCGGGGGTCACGACACGATCTTGTTGCATACGCCGTCCGCCCCTTTCACCGAGAGACCGTTTTTTCCTCTTCGCACAATTGGGCATTCTCCCTTCCGCCGCTCCCCTCCCGTAGGCTCGTGCAGCTGTGAGCCTGGTTCGCCTCCATGGCAGCTCTGGTCTTCCCAAGGCTGGGCGCCCCTTCTGGTACTCAGGGGCGGCGGGCGTAATGCATGTTACCCCTTGAGATCCGGCGAACATGTAACGTCGCGAAAAAAAACGCTACCAGAGCCCTATTCCCCACCTTTGTTGGACATTTTTCAAGCCAGATCGATATGTGATGGCCCAGGGGCTCGAAACTGGGTGAAATCGTAAGGTGTGAAAACGCTGCAACGCCCAGATCTCAGGGTACTCAGGGGCGGCGGGCGGAATAAGTGTTACTCCTCGACTCTCGGGGAGTGAGCTAAGAAGCCCCAAGAGGCCCCCAAGAGGCCCCAACATGGCCCCCAAGAGGCCTCAAACTTGCCTCCCAAAGGCCCCTGAGAGGCCAACCACGAGAGCCCAACCAACATCCGTGAGGCCTCTGACCCGCCACCCACCGCCTCCGAAAAATGGCAGCCGCCCAACCGCACCGCAATGACGACAACACCCCGACAGACGACAGCGGCGAGGCAAGATGGGCCAGCGGAGTGAGCGAAGCGATTAAATGTTACTCCTCGGCCATCGCGGAGTGAGCCACTACTGCACCTGACGGGCTCAGCGATTGCGCCCAGGCTGCTTGACAGAACCCCCCCCACCCGCAGGCCGCAGCGCTTCGCCCGGGCCGCCGGCGCCGCCGCCCTCGCGCTGGGCTGCGGCCTCCTCGCGGGCGGGGCCTCGGCGTTTGCGGCAGCCAGGCCGGGCCGGGCTGGCCGGGCCGGGCCCACAAATCATGCCGGTGATCCGAGCGGGTCACTGCACTGGCTTTTTGCAGCGCGCGTAGCATTTGAGCACCCCAAGGGGGCAAGTCGTGAGGATGTCTCGAGCGGGGGTCGCGCAAGCATGTCAACAAGGAAATCTCCACAGGCAGACGTAAGCGAGGCGCCGCGGCCGCGTCGGCCGCCCTCGCCCACCGGCCCTAACCGTCCGCAGGGCCCAGGTGTGAAAGAGCGCGCCCGCAGCGCTGGGAATACGGAAAGGGGGGCCCAGCTTCAAGCTCCCCCCCCCTCGTGTAGGTTTGTAAACAAACTCGTTTGCTAAACAGTGGGTTTTTGAGGGGCTGGGAGAAACGAAGAGGGGTGCTGCTGCCATCGATCTCCGTCTCTGGCTGCAGCCTCTTTTCGGCCCTTCTTTCAGATGAGGGGGGCCCCTGACGGGGGGCCATAGCGGGCGCCGACCTGCCCGCCGGCCTCCCCGCGGCCGCTCGCCCTGGCGCCCCGACTGGCGCCGAGGCGCGGGCTCGGGCCGCGCAATGTTGCCGGTGTGGGCCGATGCGGCCATGGCACCGGCGCTGGCGCAGCTCGCTAGGGGGCCTTGCCCTGAGGGCAGGCTGGGCGCCGTTGCTCATCGGGTCGGCCGCGGGGTTCGACTGGGAGTGGCTTCGGAACTACATCGACGGCAACCGGACGGAGGCCGGGAACATGAGCGTCGGCAACGGCACGGTGGCCGGCAACCACGGCAGTTCCGACGGCCGCCCGCGACGCTGCACCGACCCCGGGGGGGGCGGCACCTGTGACGCGGGCGGCGGCGAGACGGAGTCGGAGGAGTTCCCGGGCATCCTACTTGTCGGGTACCGTTTCGTCACCAGTTTCTTCCTTGTCATGGAGCCGACCGCGGTGGACAGGGGGGGCTACCAGCGGAACCCGATCCGTTCCGCCGGGCGGTTCCTCTTCGGCCCGTCCTGGGACTTCTTCGTGCCAAGCTAGGGCAACTCATTCCCGTCGAACCTCCTAACATTCGGATCGCTGCGAGTCGCATGACAGCTCGCGCCAGCGTGGGAGTCGATCTGATCAGCCCCACCGATGTCGAACGGCTTCCCGAACGCGCCCCTCAGGAGTTATCTTGCGCATGCGAAACAATGGAGGAGTCTCTTCCGCGGCCCAAGCAATCGATGACTTGCACGGGGCATCTGGCCCCCACGACGTCGCCAGGCGACCGCGCGACTGGCGCCCTTTTCATGTTTTGCCGAATCTGGAGTTCAGCCAGGGGTGCCCTCTGCAAGCAGTGGCCCGAGGATGCCAATCCCGCGTGGGATACCGCCATTGAAGGGAATCCACCAACGCTGGAGGATTCGCTCGGACCCTGAAAGCCGAAGCTTTCCACGCGCAAACTCCAGGTCACACGCGGTCAGGCTGCCTCGGATATCGAGAGTTCACGATTGCACCATGTCTAGGCACCTCGTCTCCGCCCATCGAAAGTCGGGCCCCCCGCCCAGCCTTTTCTTCCTAGAGTTGCAGCGCTGCGGGCTTGCGCGCGCCCGGCCGCTGCTCGGCGCGCGCTCGGAGGGGCCCCGGCCCGCTCAGCGCGCCGCCCAGGACCGCTGGGGAGGGATCAGGTTCGCGAAGTGTCTTGCCCGCTTCATTCACCAGAGAAGATGAGCATCATGGGTCCGTGCGCGGGGGGCAGGGTCTGGACTGGCGACCGGCATCTCGGCGTCGTGGGATCTCAGCGTAGGGGGGGAATGCCATGGTCAGCAGCATCACGGACGTCTCCGATCTTTGTTCGCCGAGCCAGTTTTCCTTTTGCTACCGAGAGCGCGGCCTTTCGCTCGCAGCGTCACGTCGCCAAGATATTAGCGGCGCTTTTGAATGCGCAAGGCATCACCTTCGCGGCGGCGCAGCAGGAATCGCATGTTGGAGTCGGTCGACATTGGAGCTGGGAAGCGACAAGCTAGGGCGGTAGGTCGGCAACGCGCGGCTAAGTCAGGTCAGCAGCATCATCAGTTTCGCCGTTTCGCCAGAGCCTCCTGGAGTTGCCTCGCCATTAAACAGATAGCAATAGGGGCCGCTGGTGGGGGCCGACTGCGGATCACACGCCGGCGAAGTTGCCCGCTTTCATCTGTTGGACATGCGGAGATGTTTCGCGGCAGTTGCCGGTAGTAACACGCTCGGTAGGCACTGCACTTCCGCTTGAGCCTCAGGGCTCCTGGACTCGATCCAGGCTTCCGTCGCCCAATTCTATTGTTTGAAGCAATGGTTGCGTGAATGGTTGCATCAACCGCGCAGTCGTGCAGGCATTACTAAGGCACGGCCCATCTTTTTGGAGCAAATGAGAAGCTTGGCACCCAACCAGCGCACCAGGCACATTGATGGACCTTTGGGATCACTCGTTCAGCAGTTGCTTGTTTTGGATTGGAATCCTGAAAGACTCCACTCTTTGGCTCGCTGCACTTCTTAGACCAGGAGCGAGTGCAGTCGGTTGGCTCCATTTCCAGTCTGCAAGCTTCGCAGCGGCGGCAGGCCGCCGCCGACCGCGGCTGCGGAGCCAGGCTAGAAGGAGGCGTCGAAAACAGGAGCCTTCATTTCGCGCTCGCGCCGTTGCAAGACGCCCCACATGGGTGACCACTTGCCGAACTTCTATGCGCGTCGCCTCCGGAGGAGCGCGATTGCAGACCCAAAAGTGCGATGCAAGCATGGCGCCAAGCAATCGTAGCCCGCGCTGCCAAGCCGAGCCAGAGACGCCATTCCACCGCCATTACTAATGCAGCAAGAGCGCAGGCGATAGCATTTATGATTCGCCTGCAGAGGTTATGATGGAGACAACGCAGCATTTCGAAAACTACGCTTGATTTTGGCATCGTGTGATTATCATGCGAAGCTGGACGGCGGTGGAACCACCAGTCGAGCAGGAGCATTGGCATCTCACTGTTCTAGATAACGGGCTGGTTCCTTGATGTCTCGGGGTTGGCGTTGCTGCGTCTCCCGCGTTGCTCTGCGGGGATTGCTCTGGAGGCCCTGACTCTCGGGATTCGCGCGTTCGCCAGGTTCGACGTCTCTGAGCATTCAGAGCTCCGCCCCCCAATGTTCCGCGCATTATTTCTGGGGCCACCTCCCGGGCCCCATCAGGCGGTATTTTGGGGGGAAGTGAAGACTTCGGAGTGGGGCATCCGTTTTAACATTGGGCATCTCACTTGCGTTTCAAACGACGACGAGGTAGTCCGCGCCTGGCGGCACAATCCGCGGTCAGATCCTAAAGGTGTGCTTGCCCTGATGTTGAGAACGATCGGAGAACACCTTGCACGCAGGCCTGCCGAACACATCAGTGCGATGTGGATCCTGTCTCATCTCTCTCCTCATGATCGCGTTCCCCGTTCTCCTCCCTTCCCTTGTCGGATGACGAGTGGAAATTATGGTGTTGACGAGCCTGCTGGAGCGGCAACTACATCTCACCACGCCCCAGAGAGTGTTGGGCATCGTGTTCAGACGGTGGAGAGGAAAGCAGCACCGGCACGGCAACGTTTGATGATTCGACGGTCACAGCGCTGACCGCGAAAACAAGCTGGCTGAGACACGGATGGTCCGTGCTCAGGTTGCCGCTGCCGATCCCTCTGTTCCGTCTCCCCCCCCCGCCCCTACCCATCCCCGCCCGCCCCCGCCTCCGCCGCCATCGCCCACTTTGGATCGGAGCACGCCGATTCCGAGGACGGCCAAAGCTGCTGGATCTGCAGGAGGTCGCCCACTGCGCCCACTGCGCCTGGCCAGGCACGGCCGTGGCTCCTCTGCGCTTTCTGTCAGGAAGCTCGGGGGCCACCCCACAGCTTCAGGCGAGGGCTAGAGCCCATGTAGTGGGAGGGGAAGTTATTTTGACAAATCCGATGACATAATATATCATGATGAACTACACCCGCGCGTGGATCTGTAAGTCGCGCGGGTTCCTCGGGCGAGTCTTTGCGTGCCCGTCCAGATGACCAAGAAGAGGGAGTATCTCTCGCGTTTCGTGCGCGCTTGTACCCCCATGTCGTTAATTATAGCCACTTGCTTCGCAGGCGGTCCGAATCCGAATCCGAATCCGAATCCGACCCCCTTTTCCCTCTCCCTTCTCCTCGTCCTCCCTCCTCCATTGGATCCCCCGGCGCCCCCGAAAACGCTCCTTCTTCCTCCTGGGTCATCCCAGCCCGCGAAGGCCCGCCGATGGCCTCCCAGGGCCGCCAAAAGCCCGCCAGAGGCCTCCGCGCTCGAACGACCGGGGCGCCCCCCGGGCTGTCGCAGGGCACGCCTCGGGGCCCTCCCTGGGCCACTTCTGGGCAGTCTTCCGGGAGCCGGCCGTGCTGGGTCGGCAAGGGTGTTGTCCGCGGTTCGGTCGCTTCGGCCGCGCCGCGGTCGGCTGCAATCGGCTGGTCGGCCGGTCCGTCTCGGCCAGCCGCGGCATCGCTGCCGCGTCGGTCCTTCCCAAGGTCATTCCGAGTCGGCGAGTGGTTCAATCCCATGTAGGGTGGCCGCCCGTGGCCACACCCATGTCGCGCGTTTTTCTCCGGGGGCCCCGACAGGTTCTACCTCTTGATGTTCTGCAGTTCCTCCTCGGCCGTTCGTCGGCGGACTCAGCATCGGTCGGCCTCGGCCCCCGTCGGTTCCATCCGCTTCCGGCCGCGCCGGCGCCGTGGCGGCGCGGGCCGGTGGGCTGCATTCTCGGCGGGCGCTTGTCGCTGCCGCGGCGCCCGTCGATGCCGTTGCGCCTGTCGCTGCCGCGCTGCCTGTTGCTGCCGCTGCGAGGGCGTCGCCGCCGCGATGCGCGCCTGCCCCAGGCCGGGCGGCCTCCGCCCCGCCGGCGGCGCGCCCGCGGCGGGCCGTGAGCGCGGCGGGCGTCCGACCGCGCTGGCGGCGCTCGGCCGCGCCCCGCCCCGCCACCGCCAGCGACGGCGACGGCGGCAGCGGGGGACGGCGGTGACGACAACGACGACGTCGGGGGACGGCGGCGACGACGGCGATCGCGGAGGACCGCGGCGGCGGCGGCGGCAGGCGACGGCGGCGACGACGACGGCGGCGGGGGGCGACGACCAGTAACGGCGGCAGTGGCGATGGGGAGCGGCAGCGGCGACGGCGGGAAAGGCGGCGGCCCCGACAACGATCACGGCGGCGGCGGCAACAGCGGTAGTGGCGGTCGGGGACGGCGGTGGCGGCAGCAGCGATATTCGGCGGGGCTAGGATTTGGAATGACTATTCCACAGCGTTGCGGAGCGCTCTCAGAGCGTTCTGGGGCGCTCGGGAACGGTCGCGGCACTTGCAGTTTCCCGAGCCGCCTCGTCTCAGAGATCCCCAGCTCATCCCAGTCCGATGTTGTTTTGATCTTGGCTTCGTCTTAAGCGACGACGGCGATGGTGGCGAGGGCGGCGGCGACGTGGTATGGCGGCGACGGCGATGGCGGCGGCGGCGGCGGCGACGGGGGGGACGACGGCGACGGCGGCGGCTGTGGCAACGTCGTTGTCGTTTCGGATGTCCTCGGGCGTTTCCTGTGGTTGGCGTCGCCCCAGCCAGGCGCGCCTCGGGGAATCGGCTAGAATTTGCTCCGGGAGGGGTTCGGGGTTCAGGCCCAGGGGTTCTGGGCAGACTTTACGACGGGCGACAGCGACGGCGACCTCTTTCCTCTCTCGCCCTTCCTCCTCCCCCCCTCGCTCCTCGCCCCATCACCCTCCTTTCCGTTCGTTCCTCATCCTTCCCCCCCTCCTACTCTCTCGGTCGCGCGCTCTCGCGCGCGTGGGGACGCGCGAGCAAGGGGAAGGAGGAAACAACAGAAACATAACCGAAGGGGACCGGGGTAGAATGAAGCGGGACAGCAACAGGGCGAGGCACGTCTATCAAAACGACGTCGAGTTGGGCGAGGAGGCAGAGGATCAGGAGAACGAGGAAGAGGATGAGGAGGTGGAGGAGGTGGAGGAGGAGCAGTAGGAAGAGAAGGAGGATGAGGAGGAGCAAGAGCAAGAGCAAGAGCAAGAGCAAGAGGCGGAGGGGGAGGGGAGGGATAGGGGGAATAGATATCACGCAGACGTGTCGTTCTGTCACAATCTTACCCTTGACCACCTTTGCTCGTGGCGGCCCATTTGTCTTCCTTTCTCCCGAAACAGTGTTTGGGGTTCTTAGTTGTTTTCTAGAGCTGGGCCTGTGCGTCGGTCTGGCGGCGATGTACTCGCCGGCCCCGCATCGTCGCCGGCCACATCGTCTGGCCCTGCGAGTCGGTCTGGCGGCTATGCAGTCGCCGTCGCTGCCTCGTCGCCGCCCGTCGTCTGTGCCTGTCCGTGGGTCTGGCGGCTATGTTGCCGCCGTCGCCGCCATTAGATTGCAACACATAAATGTTACATTGCTTTCGTCGCTTCGCATTACGTGGCATTTCTGTGCGTTGGTTCGTCTTGTATCGCTGTGTTTTGCGTTGCTCTGCCTTGCGTTGCGCTTAATGTTGCTTTGCCTTGCGTTGGTGTGCCTTGCTTTTCATTGCTTTGCGTTGCGTTGCTTTGCCGTACGTTGTGTTGCGTTTCTTTGAATTGCATCGCGTTGTTTTGCATTGCTTTGCGTTTCTTTGCGATGCTTGGCAGTTGTTCTCACACAGTGTTTGCATTCAGGGGTTCTTAGATGTTCTCTTAGGAACTAGGACTGTGCGTAGGTCTGGCGGCATGTTTGCCGCCGTCGCCGCCCGACTTTGGGCCTGTGCGTAGGTCTGGCGACTATGTTGTCGCCTCGTCGCCGCCCGACGTATGCGCTTGTGCGTCGGTCTGGCGGCTGTGTTGCCGCCGTCGCCGCCCCATTGCCGCCTCGTCGCCGCCCGTCGTCAGGGGCTGTGCGTCCGTCTGGCGGCTGTGTTGCCGCCGTCGCCGCTTCGTCGCCGCCCGATATGGGCTCTCGCTCTAATTAGAAATTATGATATAGCACCCATCCACGGGTTCATCGCCCACCCCCCCCCAGGGAGAGTACGATTTGCATACGAGTTTGCCCAACCGTTCACTTAAAATATGAACTCGCACCTTTCCAGCCAGACCGGTATGGACCCCACCCCCCATCTCCGTCAAATAGCATTACGCGCGCGCATATATGTTTATCAACAGTCACAATTTTTCAGAAATATGTTGCAAACAATGTGACAAAGTCCGCGCATCGTCGCACGAATGCTGACATTGAGGATCACACATCGTACGTTTCGGAAGGATTGCAACATCGAAATCACCGCAGCCATGTTAAAAACTGAAAAATGATATTGTAGTGGTCTCCGGCCAGTGCCGCCGATCCGGGGCGCTCCTGATGCTATTGTTGTTGAAATGGACGATGACGACGACAACGGACGACCAACGGTCGACGAGCGGGATAATTACGACGACGACCGACGAAGGAGTTAATGACGACGAACCGACGACGACGACGACCACGACGACGACGACGACGACGACGACTGTCGGCGAACGGCTGCCGACGGCCGGCGACCGACGACTGGTGATGGCGACGGGTGGAAGGTTCTTCGTTCATCGCTTTCGCTTCCGAGCAATACCAAGTCAGGCCGTGCACCTCTGGCCTGGCAGCACGCGAGTGAGCGCCTCTTGGGGCCTCTTGGTTCTTGGGGCTTCTTGGGGGCCTTTGGGGCCTCTTGGTGGCCTCTCGGGGTCCTCTTGGGGGCCTCTTGGGGGCCTCTTGGGGACCTCTCAGGGGCCTCTGGGGGCCCCTTGGGGGCGCCTCGGGGGCATCTTGGGGGCTCTTGGGGTCATCTTGGGGTGCAGGACTAGAAGGGTCCGTTCGGATTCACCCTCTTGAGGCCATCTTGGGGGCCTCTCGGGGTCGTCTTGGGGGGCCTCCAGGGCTATATTGGGGCCCTCTTGGACCGTCTTGGCAGCCATGTTAAAAACTGAAAATGATATTGCATCCCATGCAAAAAGTACTATGTGTGCGCACTCGTATATATATATATATATATATGGCTCCCCCCCAAGATCATACATATCGTCTTAGTTCAGCTTAGCTTAGCGCAGCATTAGCATAGCATAGCATAGCATAGCGCAGCATAGCATAGCATAGCGCAGCATAGCATAACATAGCATAGCGCAGCATAGCATAGCATAGCGCAGCTTAGCATAGCATAGCGCAGCATAGCATAGCTTAGCTTAGCATAGCACAGCGCAGCATCGCATAGCATATCATAGCGTATCATAGCATAGCATAGCATAGCGTAGCATAGCATAGCACAGCATTGCATTGCTACTACTACTACTACTACTACTACTACTACTACTACTACTACTACTACTACTACTACGACTACTACTACTACTACACCTACTACTACTACTACTACTACTACTACTACTACTACTACTACTGCTACTACTACTAATATTACTACTACTTCTACGACCTACTACTACCACTACTACTACTACTACTACTACTACTACTACTACTACTACGACGACTACTACTACTACTACTACTACTACTACTACTACTACTACTACTACGACTACTACTTCTACTACTTCTTCTACTTCTTCTTCTACTACTACTACTACTACTACTACTACTACTACTCCTACTACTACTACTATTACCGCTACTGCTACAATTGCGGCGATGAGGAGAAGCAGGAGGATGGCGTTTACCGTTAGTACTAATATTGCGTTCCTCGGGGTTTCAACTCCTCGGGGCTCCTCTGGGATAATTTTCAAGTTCAGCTTGGGGAGGGAGCCGGTTGAGTATCGGTTGATGCGTTGGAGACGGAGGGTGTTGAGTACTGGATGGTGGGCTGGAGACGGAAGGAGTTGAGTAGAATATCATTTCCAAGTTCAGTTTTGGGAGGGAGCCGGTTGAGTATTTGGTGGCGTGTTGGAGACGGAGGGAGTTGAGTAGTAGGTTATTTTCAAGCTCAGCTTGGGGAGAGAGCTCGTTGCTCCCCTGCCGCCTCCCCCCCCCCCCAGCACCTGTCTCTGTGCCTCCCGAATCAAGACAGAACGCGCGCGTGCACCGTGTTTGGCGCCACCGATGCACGGAAACGCTGTGTATGTTTGTTTTTGTTTGGTTTTTGTTGGTCTGCGAAACCACGCAACATTTTTTTTTTTTTTTTTTTTTACTTTTTGGGTTTGCAAGCCCCCGTGCCCGCCGCGGCCTCCCTCCCAGCACCCCTCTCTCTGCCTCTGAAAACAAAAAAAGTGTTTCGTGGCTTCGCAGACCCAAGAAAAAACAAAAACAACAACAAAAAAAAAAAAAAACAGCGTTTCCTTGCATCGGTGGCGCCAAGCTTTGCGTAGAGAGAGAGAGAGAGAGAGAGAAAGAAAGAAAAAGAAAGAGATAGAGAGAGAGAGAGAAAGAGAGAGAGAGAGAGGCAGAGAGACAGAGAGAGAGAGGCAGCGAGAGAAAGAGAGAGAGAACGAGAAAAAGAAAAAGAAGCAATCGAGGATGAGGAGACGAAAAGGTATGATTTTTGTTTTTTGGGGGGGGGCGACCATATATATATATATATATATATATATATATATATATATATATATATGCGCATGAGTTTGCAAGAATCCCTTGCAAAAACAGGACGAATTGCACACGCGTGCGCGTCGCCGGGCGCGCATGCCGAAATCTCTCAAGCACCTCTTGGTTGTCGTAATGATTCCTAAATCGAATGTCCCGAAAACACATTAAAACGATGCGGTTTCGCAACAAGGGTTTTCAAAAGAAGCCTGCGCCCGCGCTCTTGCGAGTTCTTAAACCTTAGGTTTCCAATATGATCACGCAATTCTTCCAGACGGGCTTCTCGCGCGCATGTCGAAATCGCTCGAACGCCCTTGCGCATGTGCTGTCGCAAGAACCCTTGCAAGAAAACGGGCCGAAGTGCACGCGCGCGCGTCGTTGCGCGCGGATGCCGAA